AATATATTTCACCGACGAATCGTTTAGTTCATTACTAATTTAGTAATAGCAAGCTATTATTTGAAATTGCTCGATTGCATATATTAATCATAAGGAGCTTAGGGTACGTTCAAGGCGTCTTCGTATGATTAAATTTACTTCAGGTTTTATGTCATAATAGTTTTCAAAATTGTCTTTATAAATTTACTATTTTGAAGACAAACAGAGACATAAAGATGCACACACACACACACACACACACACACACACACACACACACACAAACACACAAATCTTATATATATATATATATATATATATAATGATGACATTGAATGGAGGTTATAAACAAATAGTGATCGATGCATAATACCAAGAGTTATAAAGAACAAATCTGAGTTTAATGCACAACACAATGCAGCCCCCTGAATATATATATATATATATATATATATATATATATATATATATATATATATATATATATATATATAAGATAATAGGAAAACTATAATATTAGCCGAAAATTTAAATCCAATGTGAATTTTTTAAAGGCGAAAACAAAAAATTAATTTATTAAACAAAGTAACTAATAATAAAAAACAAAATGTCCTTAGCAACTGGAAGAATTTGAGAACATTATTATAGTCATACTGACTGTCAACTGAAAAATTACGTCAAATTTTCCTATTGTCTTTTACATTTATAAATATTCTAAATAGGAAAAGAAAGGTTAATTTCTGAAAAAATTTTTCCTATATATATATATATATATATATATATATATATATATAAAATCATCACAGAATTGCCAATTTATTCACAGCTCACCAGCGTGGTTAGACATCCGATTTCCTCAAGCCGCGATCGGCTTCGGGCAATATAAAAAGCGAAGAATAAATTTTAAAAAAGAAAAATATATTCTTAGGAAATTTCTTTCTCTTGATCATGATTAGGTGTGTCGGACGGAATATAACTGAAGGCAATAAATATAAATATATATATATATATATATATATATATATATATATATATATATATATATATTATTTACTATTATTTATCATTTAAAAGGGCATGGCCAACCTATTCCCGCTTGTGATATGGCTCATCGTAAGGCAAGTTTTAACATTAAAACGATTCAAGATAATTTTGCGTTGAGGTTGCTGCAATTATTTTTCACTACAGAAGGCCATCCGCGTCAGCATCTGCCTTACGAAAGTACAGAAATGTTTGTTTTTTTTTCGTTGAAGAAATGATATTTCTGTAATTAAAAAAAATAGAGTCTTGGTATAATATTAACCCTGAGTGATTAACTCGCGCCGTTACGTGGTATTTGTTTCTAATTTATTCCTTTGAAAATACAATAAGTAATTCCTTATAATTATATACATATTCTCCAGAGAAAAAACACTGAACGTTTGCGTTTTCTGAAGGAAAAGAATTTTACACGTATGATCTTCCTTAGTGACTACATCTGCCAGCAATATCTATAATCGGGAGATTGGATGTTTTGACGCACGTGTAACCATCATTTAATTGCTGTACTTCCTAGATCCTCCCTGACTCGTTGTGGTAGCAGCTGTCAGGGTTCCAACTATGGGGAAATAGTAAATCTCCAAACAGAAATCAAAACACGAGGAAATATAAAACTACCAGCAATACATTTTTATAGTAAAATGACCAACAATACATTTTTATAGTAAAATGACCAACAATACCTTTTTATAGTAAAAGGACCAACAATACATTTTTATCGTAAAATGACCAACAATACATTTCATAGTAAAATTACCAGCAATACATTATTATAGTAAAATAACCAACAATATCTTTTTATAGTAAAATTACCAGCAGTAAATTTTTATAGTAGAATAACCAACAATACATTTTATAGTAAAATGACCAGCAATACATTTTTATAGTATAATGACCAGCAATACATTTTTATAGTAAAATTACCACCAATACATTTTTATATTAAAATTACCACCAATACATTTTTATAGTAAAATGACCAACAATGCATTTTTATAGTAAAATTACCATTGATACATTTTTATAGTAAAATGACCAACAATACATTTTTATAGTAAAATGACCAACAATACATTTTTATAGTATAATGACCAGCAATACATTTTTATAGTAGAATGATTAACAATGCATTTTATAGTAAAATTACCAGTAATATATTTTTATAGTAGAATGACCAACAATACATTTTTATAGCAAAATGACCAACCATGTTTTTTGTAGTAATATGACGAACAATACATGTTTATAGTAAAATTAAAGACATGGATTACATTATCAAAATATAATTAAAAATACAACGTGCTATGATTATCCACAAAAAATGCAGCTCAGCAATTATAATTTAATCCAGAAATAATGTCATTCTCTTGAATTAATTATAAAGTTTGAATTTTCATATATAGGTGGTTATACCATTAAACAAAAACAAGAAGCCCACAGACTTCCTTAGTGAATATCGCAAATGGTTGATAGAAATAAAAAAAAATCCCTTCAAGAAAAATTCAAGAAAGATTGTAGTTAATCATTTTGATTATTAAATGGTTTGAAACAAAAAAAAATAATATTTTAATAAAAAATTTTCTGAGTCTGTAAATATTTTGAGATGAATGAGTGCTTTTTATTCGGAATTGAAAGTGCCATTGTTTGAGGACACATGGCACAGTGATTAAAAAGGTGTTGGTTAATTCAGTGACAGGACCCAAAGATTTCAATACCCGGTGGCGGGCATTGAGAACTTTCAGAGGGAAAATTAACAGGAGATAACTGATAACTGACATCCATCAAAATGGCACATGGAAATGTTATCTAAAATGTTAAAACTAGTTATTATTTTATAATTTTATTAGTTAGTAGTAGGATCTGATCTTGCTATTTCCTGTAATATAATTTTGCATCCTAGTGGCTTGGGCATTGTTTGGGTGAAACGCAGTGAAAAAAACTGTTTTATTTGACGACGATCCATCCAGCTTTCAAAAACAAAACGAACAAACCATAAATGTAGGCCTATAGCATAATTTCTGCTTCAATGTATGATACAGTTGGACACAAGTTTTCAAGTGATATGATGAATGCTTCGTTAGAGAGACTCATCTAGAGAAAGTTTAATAAATATGTTCATGTTCACACACACACACACAAAAAAAACATGGACACATCTTTACAGTGGATAAAGGCGTTGGTTGATCCAGTGACAGACCCAAAGAATTTGAGTTCAATACATGGTTAAGGCAGTGGAGAACTTTCAGGGAAAATTCAGGAGATAACTGATAATTGACATCCATCAAACATGGCACGATGTAACTAGAACATCTACCCCATTCAAAATAAAGGGTTCAGATCGAAATTCAACCACCTGAAGAAGGCCGGAGCGTACAACGGCCGAAACGTTTGGGAAAATATTGGCGACAAAGATGGACAAAGGGGATCCAGTTTGCCCATTATTTAAAAACAGTTATAATAATAATAATAATAATAACTGCGAGGAAATTGGCTCCCCTGAGCCGCGCTCCCAATTTTCCTCCAGATCTACAAATCCACAATTGCCTTGCATGGAGTATTACCCTTTAAAAAAATTCTGTTTGCCTCTGGCTTTGATAGGCTCCAGAATTGAAAAAATGGTTGGCCCTGCCCAACGTCTCTAAAAACAGTCACTTTTTTCGCCTTTCTGTCTGTTCTACAAATACTTTCATGGAAAAAAACGATGAGCTGCATCGCTGTTTCCCAATTCACGAGTTCCAAAACGAGGCTGGCATTAAACACCCCCTCACTGTCGAAATTATAAATGTAAATCATACTCTAATATTTGTCTCGCACCTCTCACCTGTGGAACTCCCTTTCTCCTCCTGTTTCCCTGTGAGCTATTTTTTCCTATTCAAGTTTTGTCAATCGACAACTAAGTTGCCTTGAAATTACCCCTAATCCTTATTCTATCATTATTACCCTATCTGAAATCTTGCTATTTCCTTTAACCCCTTGCATCCAGAATTTCCCGCCTTGCTTGGGGCGAAATCTTAAAAAAATCTGTTTTTATTTACGACGATCCATCCAGCTTAAGAAAAAAAAACGAATCTGGTAAATGTAGGCCCATAGCACCAAGCAATGGTAACTCCATTTGAGATATTATGTGGAGGTCCTCCAAAGTTTTTTCGAAAGACAGTAACTACAACGAGATTCAACCGACTGCCGATGGGACTGCAGATCTGCATATGCTACAGTAAATCAAGGACAGTGTTGAATGGCATAATAAAGTGGAGGGTTTATAAATCGGAGACACTGGAAAAGAGCGAGCTAAAAACTAAACTGAATTTGAAACATGTAATAGAATGTGCTCAGGACTGAGGAGGACAACTATGAGGATACTAAGAAGAATGTATTAGGGCTGTTTTCGACACACAAATTTCCCAAGTACGCAGATAATACATACTTGTAACTGTAGAAAACGATTACAAATAATAGAAGCTATAATCAACAAGCAACATATGAAGAATCCTTAATATATAGAAAAATGCAGGTTTGGTTGAATACCAACAAAAGTGATAATGTCTGCGCGTCGATTCATCAGAAATCAGTCATGTGGCCTTTTTTCAAGTTTCGCATTTTCTTTTATTTTTTATATATGTGACAAAGAAACAGTACAATCCTCGAGACAGAACTTTATTAACAAAGAGAGATTCTCTGGTAATGATTTATAAAAGCCATAAGCGCTTAGAAGACACTGCAATTTTTTGATCAAATTCTCACCGGAAATCAAAAATTGGCCTGAGCTGGAGAAAAATTAGATAAAAAATAAAATTAAATATAATGTTCTATTGGTTTTCAAGCAAATCCGGATAAATAATCATTTTTAAAATAGACATAATTACTAGATAGATAGATAGATAGATAGATAGATAGATAGATAGATAGATCCCTTGATGTAGAATGTCATATAATAATTTATATCCGCGGGCCTTTGCAGAAATATCGAACAAATTGCTCGGTTAATGTGTCGCCATAGGAGAATATTGCAGCAATTAGACTGGATTCTCTATTGTAAAGAATTTGAGGGTCGTCGATCGCTATGTTTTTTATGCTTCACGGCAGAAAGTTTATTTCTCTCGGTTGATTTATATCTATCTATCTATCTATCTATCTATCTATCTATCTATCTATCTTAGTCTGTTCATATTTAACTGTATCAGCGTTTTCCTGTCTAGCTAGCTATTTCATTTTTTCTTTGTCTATCTATCTAGATATCAGTTTGTTCATATATAACTTAATCTATATACAATTGTATTCATATCTATCTATCTATCTACATATCTATCTATGTAAGTCTGTTAATATCTACCTCAATTTTATTCTCTTGTATTTATCTAGCTAGATATAATTTTTTTCATATATTTCTTAGTTTATATATAATTGTATTCATATCTATCTATCTATCTATCTATCTATCTATCTACTATCTATCTACTATCTATCTATGTCTGTTAATATCTACCTCAATTTTATTCTCTTGTATTTATCTAGCTAGATATAAGGTTTTTTATATATTTCTTAGTTTATATATAATTGTATTCATATCTATCGATCTATCTATCTATCTATCTATCTATCTATCTATCTATCTATCTATCTATCTTAGTCTGCTCATATTTAACTTATCAGCGTGTTCCTGTCTAACTAACTAGCTAGCTATTTCACTTTTTTGTCTATCTACATATCAGTTTGTTTATATATAACTTAGTCTATATATAATTGTATTCATATCTATCTATCTATCTATCTATCTATCTATCTATCTATCTATCTACGTAAGTCTGTTCATATCTATCTCAATCTTTTTCTCATGTATTTATCTATCTAGATATCAGTTTATATAAAATTGTATTCATGTCTATCTATTCATTTATCTATAAGGTATGCAAATATACTGTTAGATAAGAGACACAGAAAAGAAACTACTACACAAGGCAATGGAGGAAAGAAAGAACAAAGGACTAATCCTCAGAAATCAAAATTAATGGTTGTCAGCAAAAAGAGCAGTTCAACCTGCAAATTAGAAATTGGAGATACCCATAATCAAACAAGTAGAAAAGTTTAAATAACAAGGTAGTGTTTTAAAAGATGGCAGAAAATGCAAAACGGAAATCCGAAGGTGCATTGGGATAGCGAAAGATGCCTTTCAAAAGCTAAGCAAAGTATAAAGAAATTGAAAATTTCATTAGAAACCAAGAAAAGAGTACTGAAAAGAGTACTATCATTCATCCTATATGGCAGGGAATGCTGGTTAAACTCCTCGAAACAAAATTTATTAAAAGCTACAAAGGACAGAACATTGTGCAGAACCATGATTGTTCTGGTGTCTATCCTCTTAAGAATCTATGTTAGACTCTTCCGCCTACTATAAGATTAGTAGGAGAGAAGGTTCGGGGAACAGTGAACAGTGAATAGATTGAGCGCTAATTCATTGAGATACACTCTCTCTAGCCGTGTAATACTCTTTTGGTGTACTTACTGTTTAATATACGATATATCTGCAAACCTGGATTTTGTTATTACTTAACCATTTACTTGGTCACAACAAATACACACGTAAATGTCGGTTATAATTACGCACTGAGTAGAGTGCTCAAGTAACGATTGAAATCTGTTCAACTCAAGGCTTCCCGCTTGCCTTGTTTATACTTGTGTTGTTCATCATCATCTTGCGGCCTCAGCCGAGATTGAACTCACTACACCTTTCCAGTATTCCTTATCTGTCATAGCTAATACTTTGATTGGTGTAGTTCGTAATCTTGTCAAATAGCTGAATTCTTGAGGCTTCGCTAGGGCTATCAAGGGTGTTTTTATCGTGACACCATCACTAAATGGATTGCCGACCAAGGCTCAGAGAGACTCCATTCACCCCCCTCTAAGAGCAGGTTTGAATTCAGAGTTTTCCTTTTCCTAGGCCAGTTGCCATCCAAGGCTATAGAACCAAGTCTGTCCTGCTATTTACGCCTATCTGAGGGAAGATGAAGAGGATTCACACCTTTCCCAAGGGTATTAAAACGTAAGTGAATGTAATGGATTCGACTGGAATTCGAACTCGGCTCTCCGATTCCTCAATCCAAGCCGCTAGCCATTACTCCACCGTGCCTCCTTCATACACGTGCCACGCTTTGACCGTGGCCGGTATGTCCAATTCATGGACGGGTTGCCGGTGTTTTTCTTACGGGCGTCTCTCCGTTAGATACGGCCGCCTGCCCTACTTTACATGCTGAAATGAAAAGCTTATGATGAGGGGACGTGAAATTTTAGCATTTCTGGCGATCAACGATCATCTCAGTGGATCTCCTTCCAAACGATTTTGTTTTTGCTTTTTGTTTGTATCGTTCTTGTTTTAAAATATCACACGCAGCGACAACAGAAAATCTGGGATGGGAGGTGAAGTGCTGTAAGAATCTGATCGCAAATTTACCTCAGAAGACTAAGAAAAAAATTTTTTTTAAAAATGACTGCATTTTCAATACATTTTCGTTTAAGAAAATTGCTTTTTCTCTTATTTAAAGCATCATCGTCAGATGCATTACGATGAGCGAAATGAAACAGAGAAGAAAATATATTATATCGAAGGTTTCCATTTTGTCATTCACTTACACACCAGTGTGTGCGTATGCGAGAGAGAGTTCATTTTGCGAGAAGCGAGTTGTTTTAGTATATATTGTTGTGAAATCGTAACATACCTACAACATGGACTCTTCCAGGACTATATAAAAGTATGCGATATAATACTCTAAGAGGAGGAGGAAGAGAGAAAAGAGAGAAGTATTCTAATACCGTAGTATCAGCTGCGTATGATTACCAATATTGGACACTAGCACATAGTAAGCTCCTTTTACATTTACACTATCTTTAAATAACGTTTTTTGTTTAATATATCTTTCTTACCTCTAATCCGTGTTCCCTGTTTTCCTTCCGTGGTCCCAACTTTGGGCCCACATCAGTAATGGATGCTGGAAGTCCTAAAAAAAATTCATGATTTAAATTCTCCTTATAGCTAATATAAACATCAAGGGCTACAAAAAAAAGAATGTCTAAAAATGTCTTAATATTAAATAAGAGGGGGTTAACAGATTTTATTTTTTAAATTTAGAAAGATTTTCTAAAAAAGAAACATATAAAAAATAATTCCATACATTTATAAATAAGTGAGGAAAATCTCAGTAACTGTTCTGATAAGCTTTCTCCCAGGTGCCCCGAACTATAATGAATTTAAGTGTGCTATTTGATTGGCAACTAGGAGTCACCGTTTTACTGCAGAACTAGCTAGATGCAACCGAGACTTCATTAACAGTTTCTTTTCTTGCACTTCCCACCTGTGGAACTCCCTTCCGATTTCTTGCTTCCCTGATGACTAGAATCTTTAAAAGTTTAAGGGCAACGCCAACGACATATTCCATTTACTTGAACCCTGTTTCTTTTGGTCTTTTCCTCAGTTTGCCCCATTGTCAGTCTCTTTTACTTTCACTTTCACTTTCACTTTCACTTTCACTCACTGTAACCCCGGCGTTCTAATGGCATTATCGCCTTGCTTGGGATAAACGATTTTTTAAATCATGTCTCCTCACCATGTGTCAGTGTTTATTAAACTATCCCAGTCTTTCTCAAACTTTTTAAGCAATGACAAACCTAAGAGCAAAAGAAAATATCACGGAACACTTAGCAAAATTTTTAAAGGGTATACATTTAAATGTTATAAAATAAAACCATAGATTTAAAAAAGAAAATAAACACACACATATGAACTTACTTTATTTCAATGTTTCTATTTAACTATTTGTGCAGTTTATTTAGTGTGAAACCTGTGCCTGGTCTTTTTCCACGATTTCTTCAATGTTTGGTCGAATGTGCAATAAGCAGACCCCCATTTCTTTTTCAGTTGAGCGTAGTCTTTCTCGATTCTTATTTTTTATGGTATTTAGGGTTGAGAAGCCTTATTCACTTAAACAAGAAGTAGAAAATTGAAATAAAATTTATGAATTCTTTTGAGCTAATGTTGGATAAAAAAATACACATACAAATATGAACTTATTGTTTTTTTCAATGTTTCTATTCAACTATTTCTGAAACTTATTTAGTGTGAAACCTGGGCCTGATGTTTTTTTCGTGATTTCTTCAATGTTTGTTCAAATGTGCAATAAGCAGACCCTCATTTCTTCTTCATTTGAGCGTAGTCTTTCTCGCTTCTTATTTTAATGTTATTTAGGGTTGAGAAGCCTAATTCATATAAATAAGAAGTAGAAAATTGCAAATAAAACTTATGAAGCCTTTTTTAGCCAATGTGGGTTATTCCTTTTTGATTGAGATTCAAAATTTATCAATGGGTACCAACAAATGTTTTATTTTGAGCCTTCTATCGCTAAAAATGGCGGCCAATTCTTTTTCTTCACATAACTGAAGTCTAATATTAGAAGAATCATTTATGAAGGGATTTCGACTCGAATCATACTATCGCGGCAAACGTAAGAGGATCGCGCGACTGAGAAACACTGCACTAGGCTCTCAAAATTATATCGACTGTAATGAGATCGATACTCAATGGGAACTCTGTGTTTGTGGGTACGAGCCAATATAGAGGTAAGCTTAGTGAATACCTATTTATATGGTGAGAGAGTGGGTGATTTGTTCACTTGTCTGTTTGAGTCCTATGGCCTCGAAACAAACCTGACTGGAAGTCATATCAGAAGGACGTGATTAAATTTCTCTTCTTGTTTGTCGATTTGTTCAGAAGAAATTTGCTTTGAAAGTCTTCTTTTTTTTTTCACTTCTTCGTCATTTCGGTATTTTTGTGGATTTAATTGCCTATTAAAACTAACCCTATATAAGGCCATCACGTCTATGCACAAACACTAATTTAGATAAATAAATAAATACACACACACACACGCACACACATAGATATATATAATCAATTAGGTAGATTAGGCAGACAGGAAAAGACTGAGATAGATAGATA